AGAAAGGCAAGTGAAGAGAACTCTAGTTTTATTTTCCAATACACAAGAGAATGGCTAAAATGTAAAAGGAAGTGACAATCCTAACTGTTGGTGAAGATTTAGGACAACTCAAGTTCTCACATATGACTGATGGGGATGCGAAGTGATGAGATTCTAGAAAACACCAAGTGTCCAGGTATATCTAGCTCCCTTTCATATGCTTCCTTGTTTACCTCTTCACCGGAAAGAAAGTATAATTAGTCACCATCCTCTGCATTGAAATGTTTTTACATGCTGTTATTTTATCTTTTTAAATTTATACAAAACACTGAAAAGATGATTTGGTGTTATAACTAAATATGTGGACAATTTTCTTATTATGATTTTTAGCTGTTAGTTTTTCTTATTAGTTTCTAAAATATACAAAGAATGAATATAATTTTCAAGTGCTAAAACTCCAGTATACTGCCCTGGAAAAAGAATGTCATATCTGAGGTAAACTCCAAGCATTCATTTATTTGCTGTGTGACACTGGTTAGCTCTTTCTGAATGTTAATATTATCATCTTCGAAATGGAAAAATGACTAACGTGAGTGTATGAAAATTAAATAAGATGATATATGGCAAGGACCTAGGACGGTGTCTAATAGCTATTAGACTAAATGTCCTTCCTCATTTAATGGATCCTAAATACACCCTATCACTCACATAAGCCCCCACTCTGCCCTGAGGCACTCCCACTCTAGGCCAGGTGAAGGTTGAAGCCTAAAGAGAACAAAAGACAGAGGAAAGAGGCATTCACCCTTTTGTTTTTCCTGCCTGCTTGAATTAAAATATCTCATCTCATCTTCTGCCTTTCGACTGAATTACGCCATCAGCTTTCTGAGTCTCCAGTTTGCAAATGTCAGATTGTGGAACTCCTCGATCTTTATAAACACGTGAGCTAATTTGTCATAATCAATGTATCTCTCATGTATATCATATAAATCCAGAAATACGTATTTTCTGTTTCTCCGTCTACATCTGACTGATAAAGGTTTTACTATAATGTATTTAATTATAAATTTATGCAGGTTGGTTTTCAGGAATGTCTGTGCTTCCAGCTCATGATATTCCTGAGAAGTTAACAGTTGGCACTAACCAGCCAGTACAAGCTGTCTCCAGTGCACCACTGGCTGCAATCCTTGCCACTCAGGCAGTTTTACTATAGGAAGCCTCTAGCTAACCC